ATTTTATCTCTGAGGGGACATTTGGCGATGTCTGGAGACAGTTTGGACGTCATAGCTCAGGAGGTGCTGCTAGCATCTAGTGAGTGGAGGCCACGGATGCTGCTAAACATCCTATGGTGCACAGAACACCCCACGACAAAGAATTATCCAGCCCATGTTGTCAACAGTACTGGGGCTGAGAAACCCCAACGTACCCCTTCTGTCTCAGCAGCGACAACACCCCGGATTCTCTCCCCATAATGATTCTAAGGCCCTACAGGCAGGAGCCAGGGTCACTTTGTCTTTCTAAGCCCAGCACCCAACATACTGAGTGAGTGAATGAATGAATAAATGAATGAATGAACAAGAAGTGAAGAAGTGACAGAGCCAGACTGAAATTCAATGTGCACATCAGGGTAATGAAAGCCACGTAAGACCAGGTGGCCTGTCCGAGGACCTGAGTCTGGGGTCGCTTGTTAGCTGTGTGGAAATGTTTTCATGTTGATCATTGTGATTCGTCCCCCCAAAAAGCTATAAGCAAAAAAAAAAAAAAAGGGTCAAACCAAAGCACCAACTAATGGTTTTGTTTGACAGATGCAGCCCCAGAGAACTGTGTTATCATTAGAATTGCTTGGCATCAATATTACTGAGAGATTTTGAGATTTTTAAGGTTTGTTAGGTCAGAATCCTATGGTTGCACATAACCCTACATTTACAATCTGGAACAAGACAGATTGATTGTAATCAGGAGAGAGAGTTTACTTTTCTAACCTCTTAATGCTTGCACAGAGCTGTCACAGTGGGCTAAGCAAACTGTCACGTCAGGTCCTTTGGCATCAAATACAAGTAGAGGTATTTTAGGGAAAACAAGAATTATTTGAAGGAAAATCTCCAGAAAAGACTCTCTGAGTATTAGTTACATGGAAATAGATAAGAGAGAAATATCAATGTTAGGAAAATAAGAAAAACTGTTCTTGGTTGTACGCACCTTAAAATTCTCAAAATGTTTTCAAATTCAATATCTTATTTGACATTCATCATGATGCTGTAAAGTGGGTATTGTCCCTGATTTATAGAGGAAAATACAGAGGGTCAGAGGAGTTAGGCTGAAGGTTTCCCCCAAATCCAGACTCTAGGAGACTACCCGGGAAGGAGGGAAGAATGGTGCTGCAACCTCGCTAATCATTAGAGGAAAGCAAATCAACACTACAGTGAGGCACAGAATGGCCATCATCAAAAAGGCTAGGGCTGCCCTGGCGGCGCGGTGCTTTTGAGTCCGCCTGCCGACGCAGGGGACGCGGGTTCGTGCCCCGGTCCGGGAAGATCCCACGTGCCGCGGAGCGGCTGGGCCCGTGAGCCATGGCCGCTGAGCCTGCGCGTCCAGAGCCTGTGCTCCGCAACGGGAGAGGCCACAACAGTGAGAGGCCCGTGTACCGCAAAAAAAAAAAAAAAAAGTTTACAAATCATAAATGCTGGAGAGGGTGTGGAGAAAAGGGAACCCTCCTGCACTGTTTGTGGGAATGTAAATTGGTACAGCTACTATGGAGAACAGTATGGAGGTTCCTTAAGAAACTAAAAATAGAACTACCATACGACCCAGCAATCCCACTCCTGGGCATATATGCAGAGAAAACACCAATTCAAAAATGTACATGCAACCCAATTTTCATAGCAGCACTATTTACGAAAACCAAGACATGGAAGCAACCTAAGTGTCCATCGACAGACAAATGTATAAAGAAGATGTGAGATATATATATATATATATATATATATATGCAATGGAATATTACTCAGCCATAAATGGAATGAAATATTGCCATTTACAGCAACATGGATGGACCTAGAGATTATCATACTAAGTGAAGTAAGTCAGACAGAGACAAATATCACATGATATCACTTATATATGTGGAATCTAAAATAATGATACAAATGTACTTACTTCCAAAACAGAAACAGACACACAGACCTAGAAAAGAAACTTATGGATACCAAAGGGGAAGGGCGGGGGAGGGATAAATAAAGAGTGTGGGATTAACAAATATACACTACTATATATAAAACAGATAATCAACAAAGACCTACTGTACAGCACAGGGAACTATATTCAGTATCTTGTAGTAACCTATAATGGAAAAGCATATATATATATATTACAATATTTATATATATATATATATATATATAAAACTGAATCACTTTGCTGTACACCTGAAACTAACACAACATTGTAAATCAGCTATACTTCAATTAAAAAAATAAAGAAGTTCCCTGGTGCCCTAGTGGTTAGGATTCGGCACTTTCACTGCCGAGGCCCGGGTTCAATCCCTGGTCAGGGAACTGAGATCCCGCAAGCTGCATGGCGTGGTCAAAAAAACAAAAAAGAAAAAAAAGAACGGGAGTTGGTTCAACATGAGAATGGCCCTGGACCATCAGAGGCCCGGGTTGGACAGAGCGACCCTCCCCTTCTTGGTGCAATGGGCACCTCAAGGGCATTTCAGCAAGAACAGCTCAGCTGCCCTCGTTTTCGAGCCCAGGGTGTCGCTGGGTGATGCTTAAACAGCCCATCAGAGGAGGACAGGTGATCCATGAAAAGATATTTGTTAGCTGCAAACGAGGGTGTAAGACGGGGCGAGATGGGAGTGCTTTGTGACCAGCTGAGCGCAGTGAAGATGGTAAGCCCTCCGAGTGCCACACACGGTCTCTGTCTCCCGGCTGCTGAATTGACTGAGTGCTGGTGCTCTATGTTCATCATTCTTCTCAGGAAGAAGAGGCAACAAAGACTGGTCTGTTCATCTGGGGGGTTATTTGTTGTTTTTCGTAACAATTGAGACTTTCACAAAGAATTAGCAAAGGATGTGTTCATGCCAAGAGCATTGGAATATTCCAAGATTATTGTGAGCTTGTATTTTTCTGGCTGCTTTCAGTTCAGAATTCTCAAGTCATACCATAAATTTTCAGTATTATAGAAAAGAATGGTAGAGATGGTTAGAATTTGCATTTTATACAAAACAATAGCCCTTGATACTTGCTCCCACTTATGTAAAAATTGATGCCGACATCCCTGCAAAGATGCATTTGCCTGTGTTTAATGAAATAACGTTGGACTTTGATCTTGACCCACATAACGATGATTATAAATGTATTAGCTTTTCATAGTCCCTTTTTCTAAGTGTAACTACACCACATAAGCAAAGCAGGAGAGACAGGGGGAAGTTTCTGTAAGCCAATAAATGGTGGTTTCCTGTCTTCTTTCCCAGTTTTCCTTCACCCTTTAGCAGCTCATTTCTTGTGCACCAAGCAGCTAATTAGAAGCGGTGGTTTTGCCCTTGATTGGCGGATGGAAAAGCTCAGCCAGAGGGATGTCCAGAGCAGCCAGAGCAAAGCAGTAGCTCTGGGTTTCTGACTCGCCACCGCGCCCCCCCCCCCCACCCCACCACCAACTGGGCTTTGCTCTGAGTCTCCACTGTTGAAAAGACAAATGTTAAAAAGGAACCATAAGCTCTGAATTTAAATATGTGAAACAGCCTCCCATTCCCAGTTTGTAGGGATCCGGTGCCATTTTCCCCGTGAATGAAGACATCTTCCCAGGGGAGTTAGGGGTGGGTTATCAGAGAGACCTAAGATGGGAGGATCTTGGTCCCCAAGCCACACAGACCTGGGTGGCTGCTGCCCTCAATTCCTGTACAAGGGAACAGGTATGTGGTGTAGCCCAGCCAGGCCCTGGGGGTGAGGTCCAGGTCCCGTTCAGGTCCCCTTACACAGATGGCACATGCCCGCAGTGTGCTGTAACAAAAATATTACATGCCGAGGGCCTGTCCAGAGAGCGTTGTGAGTGAAAGTTCATAACCAACAGGAGACTGCTGAGAACGGTGTGCACGCGTTTGCTAGTGGGTGAAACTCAGGGTGTTTCCATCCCACCTACAAATCACGTGCGTGGGATGCTCAGGAAGACAAGCAAGTCTTCCAGGACGGGTGAAGGGAAGTCAAGTGCGAGGAGTTGTAGCTGAGAGACTAAGAGAGCGTTTCTGTTGATGGCCTGTGAGGAGGCGGCGTGGGGAGCGGCTGAGCCAGGAGCAGTAAGAGTGATGCCGACTCATCTGGGCTCCGCCCAGCCCCTCATGGTCCTCTGTCTGCCCATTCCCTCTGATGCCAAGTGTACCTCATTCCCCAGGGCTCCCTGAAGGGGTGGCGATGGCCTGAGACACGGCCACCTCAGCGGTGTCTGCTGGTCCCTTCTTGCTCATGGTCTAGAGCCCGCGTCCATCCTGAGCTGAACCAGACCCTCTGGTCACTGCAGACCCAAAGGCTCCGTCCTTCAGACCGGAGCACCGCTGGTCACTGTGAGGGGAGTGGACCTCTTCTGGCACCACCCCCCTACCGCCGGCGGTTGTGTGAGGAAGCATTGGCCTCCCCTGGACCCCTCACTGGGGACTCGAGGACAGGCTTCCGCCTCTGTGGAAATGGCCCTACCATCTTCTCAGGAACTGGTTCCCTCATGGCATGAATTACAAGAAAGTCATTCATTGCTGCTGAGCTTGAACATAAAAAGTTGGAGTTGTAAAGTGTGTGTGTGAATCTATAAATATACACATCTATACATAAACATGTATCTCTAAATTATCATTAAAGGCATTCTGTGGTGGGAGGGAAGGGAAGTTAGAACAGCATTTTGCCTCCGGGATAATGGCCTCCGTTTTGCATCGATGCTCTTTTGGTAAAGCTGGTCCTCCCCGCTTGGGTGCGGGACCTGGAGCAGTGGCCGCCTTCCAGCATCCTGGGATGAGCTCGTTCTGAGGACGCCAGCGGCCCGCGTGTCTCTATCTCCCCAAAAAGCTTGCCCGCCACTGGACCCCTCCGTCCATTTGGTAACAAAGCTGTGATGTTCCATATCTCCCCTTTCATCACACCGATTCAGACATCAGAAATCCCCGCCACTTTGTGTGTTCTTAACAACGAGAGTGGGAATTGGGATTGCTGATGGGTTCTAACCTGCTTTATCTTTTCCTCTCACTCAGGGGCGGATCTGTAGAAAAGCGGGCAAATCAAAAAAGTCCTTCAGTCGCAAGGAAGCTGAAGCTACCTTTAAGAGTTTGGTGAAGACTCATGAAAAATACGGCTGGGTCACCCCTCCCGTCTCTGACGGCTGATGTTTGCAACGTGCATTAGACGCTTCAGCCGCCTCTGCACACACACAGATACCCGACATCTCCTCCTCCACGCTGAGCATCCTTCATCCTTTTTCACTCCAGCCGGAACTGAATCCTGAATGCCAAGGAGACGTTTAAGTTATTTATGACCAGATGTGTTTACAGAGAGAAAGAGGGAGCCAACGCTGTTTGGGATTAGGTTTCAATTATAAATGAATGATCATCTCTAAGTCACTTTAGAACAAATGTCAAGATGGTGACATTCCCCAGCCCGCCTGCCCCTCCGCCCGCCCCATCACTTTGGCCCTTAGCTTCTTTCCATGACAGCAACTCCAAAGAGCAGGCGGGAAACTCAGTGCCCCATGCTGGACCCGTTTACATGTAAAAGGCGCCGTTCATATGTAACAGGAGCGCCCTGCATCACCAGTACATGTTTGCTGTGCTCTGTATCTCTGTTTCTCTCCCTGGCAGGTCAACATAACTTGAAGACGTGTCTTCCTGTGGCCCCATGTCATGACATGTAGACCTCATTTGTGCTATGACCTTTGGCTCATGAAAACAAAAATTTAATATTGCCAGGTTCTAGTGATATAAAACAGCAACTGCCCACTTGGTTAAACCGTGCTCCCAATGCCGATGCTGCAGTGTGTGTGTGTGTTGTCCACAGCTCAGCCCGTGCCTGTGGGTGAAGCCGGGCATGCTGTGGCCATGATGGGGCACACACGGTGCAGATGCCAAGGGCGCCATCCCTGGGGCTCAGAGCAACGGTGGTGAGATGCGGACAGTCTCTTCCAATATCCTGAGATGCTCCTACGACATTTGTGTTCCTGTCTTCTCTCTGCTGGTCAACCCACCACCAAAAGCAAAAGACAATGTCCCATTCACTGAAGTCACCTTACTCACTTTCTTCTGTGTGCTCGTGACAGGGAATACCAGAACTGCCAAAGGAGACCCAGTGACCATACGATGATTTGCATGGCCCAGTAGTCACTTGTGTGTCCCCGAGGCTGGGATGCGTGAGCACCCTTGCTAGGATATAAATTTCTGTTATTTAACTCCCCACAATTTCATTTTTCTCTTCTGTTGAGTTACTTAGAACTTTCTAAGAAAAACCATGAAATGAGGAAACACTGTTTATAATAATATGCGGAAAGAGGTTAAAATGTTCATTCCAAGTGGAAAAATCTTATTGGACACATTTTAAATAAAATCATGCATACCTGAATCCAGTCATTGTGGGCTATCCTTCCATTTAAAATATTTAATCTATTTTCAGAATTGAATATTTCAAATACTACAAATACCATGACAGCATTCTGCAACAAGGTGCAGGAAAAGAGTCTTAGGAACCCATGGTCTTTGCAAAAATCCAATGGGTTAAAATCGCCCCCAGAAGCAACCAGGGAGACAATTAGAAACTAACTGGAAGCATTAAGGGATGGTTTGGCCAAACTCGGATGTTGCCAATTATATTTTGCCACTATGAAGGAAGGGGAATTTTCTTTGCTGATTGTATTAAATTATTCAGGCAGTTTTGGGTATTCAGAGTTTTGGGTTCACTCACCAAGGTGATCAGAGATCTGAGACACCACGCCTCAAAGGACGGGGGTCAGCTCCTCCCAGCAGGTTTGGTCATTCCTCTAAAATCTACCCTTTATTGCTACTTTTATTTTTTTTTTTACAATGTTCTGATGTGCCCCAGATACACATGCAGTTCTGTGCAGCCAAAATGCCTGACCTCCAGCTCAAGTTCCCTGTGAGTAATAATAGTCATGAAATTTGATGACAATGAACTTAAAGTGTCCATTCACCTGATCCTCCACAGCGGAATTCTCCATCCTGGAAACCTGACGTTTAACCCATGGTCTTTGGGCCCCTGGGCTCCTGAGTGTAATGGAATTACACAGTGCATATTGTAGATCTAGGGCAGAAACACCGGCGAGGCAGAGCACCTGAGTTTCTTTCTTTCCAGATAGTTTCCTCTTCCAAATCTTGAAATAAAAACAACTTTCTTTTAGGAATGTATGTATATATTTGGACATATGTCTATATATCCACAGCTGGGTCACTTCAGCGCTGCTTATTATCTGATTGAAGAGCTTGGCCACAGTTGGTTCAGGTGTAGCCAGGAGGTGACTTATAACCTAAGGGTGGGAGAGATTACTGCCAACAGCAAGGGGGAGGGAGACCGTTGGCTCAATTTCAACCTCTCTGTACACCCTAAACTTGACTTTTTTTCCATGGCATTTCCAATAGGTTTTTTAGAAACTGGAAGTTATAGAAAAAATACTCTTTGGTAAAAGAAATGTTATTTTTCACTGAAATTCATAAGACTTTCTTATTTTAAAAGCAGCAGAGAAGAATTTAAAATTCAACTATTGCTTTGACTCTTAGTCTGAAGCAAAAACTCCCTTTCTGGGGGCTGGAGAAAAACATGGCAGTGTTGGCCAAACAGCAGAGCCCTCTGGCCATGGAAGTTTCCCGATGACCCCGCATGTGGGTCCTGCTGGGCTCACATTCCCACACAGGCCAAGAAATCCATCCCTCTCCAGGCCAGCAGCAGGGGAGTAATTGGACGGGCCTGCAGATGTTCACGGCCCACCAGCTCCACAAGCCCGTTTATGGAAGGAACTTGAATCCAGCCAGTGGCCACAGAACCAAGGGAAGGAAAAAGTACAAACTCACATGTGCCTCATTTCTGTTCAGCAGTTTTCCTGGACTGACTGCCCTTACTCCTAGGTGTCCCCTCCACAGCGGGCCAAGGGCTGTGCGTGGGACTGCACGTGGCTCATCGGCTTCATAAAGGTCAAGAATTACTTCTGCTTAGGAAGTTCTCTGTGAGCAGTAAGGTTCCACACTCACACACACATGCACACACACACACACACACACAGTCCCTGGAAGACTTACAATATCTAAAATTCATTACTCAGAAAAAAAGTAGGCCTCAATTTTTCAGCCCCCAAGTTTACTCCATTTTTCACAACTCAGCCTTATCTCATGAGAGGAAAATCTGTGGCCTCATGAGAAAGACCTGGTATAGAAAGACAAATGCCCACAGTGTCTGTGTGATACTGGCAAGTCATGTCACCTGCTTAAGCCCCAATTTCCTCGGCCGTAAACTCCTACCAGGTTGGCGTGAGAATTGACTTAAACAATGAGGGAAAGTGCTTGGGAACCAAAAATTGTCATATGAACTTTATGTGTCATTTTTACAGTATGGGGAGATTATAATAACAACAGGATTTCACTAGAACACACTTGGATAAAGACTCAGACTGAGCAATTACAATGGTTCAAATACAATTATCTTATAACCCTACACTGGCTTTCTGTCCCCAATCCCTTATTTTAAGCTAATCAACCAAACTTAGCATCTCTCTACCCACTCAGATACAGGGAATGTAGAAGGTAAAGACATGGCTCCTTCCTGGAGAAACTCATAAGACAAGAATAACACACAGACAGCTAAACGCTAAATTGCGTTGCAGCAGTTGTCCACGTGGTACAAGGCCAGAGGCTTCCTGACTGATAACCAGGGAAGATTTCAGAGTGAGTCAGGTTTAAGCTATGGCTGGGGGAGTGGGAAGGACAGGGGTCAGGCATGGTCTCCATCCCCACTGGCCCTGGAGGGGAGAACTGGGCAGCCACTTGTCACTTCTCCCCTGCAGGGACCCTGTCTGCAGGTCTGATTTCAGGAGGCAGGACAGAGTCCAACCCCACAGCCTAACATGGCTTGTGGGGCTGGCCCCTTCCCTAAGAACTGGATTTTCCATGTTTTATCTGAACCCTCCTAAAAGCATGCAGAATTTTCATGGAATTTTCTTTCTAGAGAAGCAGGGCTGCTTCCCAACTGCAGTGAGGGCAGACCCATTGAATCTAGGAGACATTTAGTCTAACTTTATACACCCTACAGTGGAGGCCATAAACCCAGAGAGGTTGAGTGGCTTTTCCAAAGTCAACTGGAGAGGTGAAGATAAGCCCACTGTCTGGGTGGTGCTTTCTGGTCCTCCTTGATGCTTCCTATGGACCATTTGGCAATTCACATGGCAATTCCAAGCGCACACCTTTTAGCCCACTGTTGGGTCAGAAGAGCCACAGGTCTTCCAAGCTGGCTGGGAATCACCCAAAGTCATCCACTCTGCATTGAAAGCAACTTGGTGCAAAGGGCAGTTTCCACTCCCTACTGTTTTGGGAAGCCATGGTGAGGGGCTTAGAGCTCAGTCCATGTGGTCACAATCAACACTTTTATTTCCCCTCCAAAGACATTAAAATAAAATACAGCTTCATTCCTTAACTTTATGCTATGATGCTTTGTTCTATCTTATCTGTCTGATTTTTGCAGCCTCCAGTTTACGTAGTATTGAATATCACTCAATCCCAGGGCCCATCTGACCTGCAGTATGTGACAAATGAACTGGGAGAGCCAAACACTGTTGTCATAGGGAAGGAAATAAGCAATGTTAACGCTGTTCCAGAATAAACACAGGAGCAAAGTGTGCTGGCCAAAGAGACATAATCAAGGCAGAGTATTTGAAAAGAGTGTAGATCCAAAAGTAACCCAGATTTTATCACAAGGTCATAATAGTGCTAAACAAATAGTAGAGTGGACCTTGAGGAGTCTAGTTCCAAGGTTGTCCTCTTGGGTCATGATGGCAGTATGTGGTGAGAAAATAAATACCTGTACTCCTTCCCACTGCAGATTCACCCTGTTTGTCCTGCAGAGTTAAAACAAGGAGGTGCTTCCCCATTTCTTCTATGGGAGGTAAATTGGCTGTCCTGCTTTGTAGACATGCAATCACTTTATATCTCTAGATCTTGGGCAATCACTTGTGATGACACTAACTGAGCTAAAATAGAACGGTTGTAAACTGATATGCTTGGTTTCACTTCCTGCTTGTCCTTTTTACCGAAGTGATTTTTTTTTCATGAACGTTGTCACCATTTTCACCATGGTAGGATGCTAATCTACATGCCATAAGCTACTGGAAACTTTCAAACTATCACCACAGTTGTCCTATTCTGTGATGCTCAAAAGGGTGTGTGGAATTGCATGTGCCATAAAATAAATAGGAAAGAATATTGACTATTGAAAGGAGGTGAATGCACGGGTCACATAATCTAGAGGCGTTGTCCTCGTGGGGAAAACAATGATACTGAAAAGACTTTAAAACCAATAAATGTCTTTCCACGGAATGTTGGTTGTGTTCTTGCATGGTCTGTGTTCAGGATTTGTCAGCATTTCTCTGGGTTTCCATATGTGTTATCCTCTGTGGTCCATTGTGAGCAGCTCTCTGTCACGTGGTCCCCTCTGATTTGCTTTGATTTATTTGTGGTTTGCCAAATGAAAACTCTGAAGCATGTCACAGGTATTCTGTATAAAAGTCAATGAATATGGGAACATATGTATATGTATAACTGATTCACTTTGTTATAAAGCAGAAAAAAAATAAATAAAAATAAAATTAAAATAAAGGAAAAGAGACAAACATTCAAGGAGAATAAAGTTAAAGTTAATAAAGTCAGTACACTGAACCCAAAAAAAAAAAAAGTCAATGAAATGTACTTGAACCAAATCTAATTAAGCATTCGTGTGATTTAGAAGATTTCTCCTTCAGCTGCCATATGCATTAAAAAGATTTGTAAACGTGTTTGTTGATGATTCCCATTAAAGTTTCTCAACATAATTGAAATTGTGTGCTTAGCACAATACTGTAGCTTAAACTAATACTGAATTACAGAGATACTTCTCTGGAAAACTCTTATAGAGTAGTAACTCTAGAAAGCAACAATTTTCACATAACCTAAGTTCAATTTATTTAAAAGATACTTCAGCCAACTTTTCACACTAGCTGGCTTTCAGTTTTTATTTTACACTCTTTATCAGAGAAACTTCTCAGCCCTGTGTCAATATTTGGAACTGTTTTCCAATCAAGAGCATACTTTTCTTTTAAAATCTGAAAATATGACTATTTTGGTACTGAATAGGCACGGGCTTTGGAATCAAACAGCCTTGAATCCTGTCTGCCTCTCATCACATGTAGATAAGGAACTTGGCCACTCAGACACAGTTTCCACTTTCTAAACTAAAATTAGGAAGTTACTTTTTACAGCTGAGGCTGCTGTGATGAGACAAGCAGCACGTCTTGAAGCCCTGCAGGTAACTGGCAGGTAACTGATACTAATACATTCTTTTGGAAACAACAGAGATTGATCTGGTATGGTCGATCGGACAGCTTGAGCTGGCTGTTAGGATCTACTTTAAGCTGTTCACTTCATCCCAAGTGAATTTGCAACCTTTCCTTTGGGCAAAGGCATGGAAGGTCCTCCATCAATTGGGCATTGGCTCTGCCTTTCTCTTGGCGATGGAGATGGACGTGTGTCCAGTCACACTCTTCCCTGAAGCGTATCCAACCCCAGCTGGTGGGGGAGCTGACTGTGGTGGCCTGGGTAACCTGTGTCCAGGGACATGGTTTCCTTAAGGCAAAAGTTAA